TCAAATCGGATCGGATCTTATATTGTAAAACTCTTTTAGGATTTATTTTTTTATTTATAAAAATTAAAATTAAAATTTTATTTTAAAAAAATTAAATTCTTTTCTCTTAAATCAAAATTTTATTTGAAAAAAGAATGAATACTTTCTATTCAGATCAAGAGATTATTATACCAACGAGGGATTTGATCAAGTGGTAAGCGACTTGTTCTAATTTCAGCTTAACTAAGATCTCGAGTTCGAAACCTTGTATACGTAGCAGCCTTCATTGGGAGACCCATCCACCATTCTGGTGTGCCACAGTTGGTCGAATCCGAAATAGTCGAGGCGAAGCCCCGGATACCAGGCGGGAAACCAAAAAAAAGATCAAGAGATTATTGTGCCTATTAACCTTAATGAATAAGAAAGTGGGAATATATGTTATGTAGGGGCGAAAAAGAAAAAAAAAAAAAGTGGGAATACAAAGCGCCGATTTCGGAGGTGTGCGAGGGTAGGTTAGACAATTTGGGAGAGACGGTGACTGCGACGGTGGGAAGGTAACCGTTTGGGGCGTCGCCATTGGCGGATTAATGGTTGTGTGTTACCAGGAACCTTCCGTGGGACCTTCTACTAATTATTTTTAATAATTTCCTCAAAAAATTATTTTTAATAATTTTTAAAGATTTATTGTTATTTTAGTATATTTAAAAAGTTTAATTTCTTTTAAATATTAACACTAAATTTAAAATTTGAATCTGATATATATAATAAAATATTTATTAATAAATTCAATTTTTAAGATTTTTAAATAATTTTTTAATAATAGTTAAATCATAATTTAAAATTTTGATAATATATAGCGTTTATTTAATAGTTTTATTATGTAAAAAAATTCAAATTATCTTTTATGTGTATAAAAAAAATCTTATTTTATAATTTAAATTATATTAAATTATAAAATAAAAATTATTAAATGAAAACAAAGAATTCTAATATTAAGAATTCACACATATTGAATAATTAGTGTAATACATTTTGTTATAATCTAAATTATATTATACTTTTTTAAGGCGTATGTTATAAAAAAAAATAAATCATATAAAAATACTTGTGAAAAATAAGTAAAATGGAGTTGAGGTAGTAAAAAATTTTATTTCTTTAGTGAAAAAAGGACTTTGCTTTTTCCCTTTTTTAATTTTTCCCTATTTTATTTTATTTATTTATTTTTTTTGATAAATTTTCCCTATTTTATTTACTGCAAAAAGTTTTAGGTTTCATTTATTATCGCATTTTTATAGCACTTTTTCTCATTGAACTTCACTAAATGTATTAATTAAATTAATTTTAATTGATATTATAATGGTATATAACACTTTTAAAAAAAAATAATTATCATATAGTAATAATACAATTTATTGTGATTATTAAATACTAAACCAAAATCACAAACATTTCATACCTATCCCGAACCCAACCTTATTTAATGCAGAACCACGAAATATTGGTTGGTTTGAAGTTTTGAACTGAACCAAACCAAATTTGGTTTGAAATTTCCCCCAACCAAAATTTTTACTTAATTTGGTTTTGGTTTGGACTTCAAACTGAGACCAAACCGAATATGAATACTTTTAACCGATGTTAAGTATAGGTGTGACTAAAATAACAGAACAATCTTAAATGAATAATAGAAGGCAAAAATCTAGATTTCATGTCCATGCATTGTCTGTGCATTGCCCATAATTTAAAATTACCAGTTTTAAACCCTATCTAATTGAATAAATATGTGACTAAAATAACAGAAAAGAATCTGAAAAGAATAATATGGGGTCAAAATCCTAAGATCTCACATTTACTAACATCATGTAACTTGTTCCAACAAAATATATGTTTCCTGTACAGGTTAAAGAATTCAAGCTTTCTTTGTGTATACAAGGCAAGTGGAACCAGCGGACAAACATTGTTTCTAAAAACTACTACGAGCTATATTTATACAATTATATATGCTATGCAATCTGTTCAACTTGGTTTCAAAATATAAGAGGTTTGGAAGCATTACTTCATCTTTAGGTTGCCCAACCAAATCAGGTTATGCCGCCTGGAAGAGTTTTATGGATTGTCCTGCTGTTCACTTCACGAGTGAATCATCCTCCAATGACCTTTTTGTTGTCTGCCCTTGCTTTGTTTGAGCACCCTGAGGGAACAGCAATGAAGATTTTAGATCAGGTCATGCCAATAGAAGTAGAGTCTGTAGAGGGCAGTGCTCCAGTGGCATATCTTAGTATAAGAATTTTGAAAAGTAGTACGCTATTTCCAGATATCTGTGTTGTATGATACCCATTTGGCATATCGATTCACACAGGGCAGACAATTATATGCTGTGGCCAAATATCACCAGAAAATGCTTCTTCCAGTTTGTATTTGCTGACAATCAAATGACAAGGGAAAATTTGTTTACTTACTGAAGGTCTTTGACCAGTCAACCTACGACAAGATGGAGCTCGTGCCACTGATGAAGCAGCTGCAGCAGCAGCCACACGTATCCTGCGAAAAGGATATAGATAATAATAATTATAACAATAACAATTAAAGTCATGTTCTACATTGAAGTTTGAAGTAATGCAAAAATTGATATGAAGAATGCAGATCTCATAATACCTTTTATGTACATCAACGTATACATCGGTCTCATCTACAATTTCCTCCTACAATGGAGAAAGGGATCATCATCAAATCACCATCTGAGACTGCATGCTACTTATATAAAGAGAAATGATATGTGCCATGGTGGAACATTAAGCATTTTCCCTCTAATCTTGATTAATTGAAGTTAAAAGATCAAGACAGGCTGACATAAGAGGACAGTACAATTCCTACTGACCTGTGTCCAAGATGAACCAAAGATTAAATCAATCAACAAACAATTTCATATCTCAGTTGAAAAAAATAACACTTACTTGTAGAAGTTCTTCAAAGACATCCTCCAGGGTAATGATTCCAATGACCTCTCCCTCTTCAACATCCTCTGAAAAATGAGGTAAGGTGTTTGCCGAAATGCCATTTTGTTGCAGAGGAGTTAGCTTATTGCCAATGGTCCTTAAATGTTTATCAACGTCAACAAGGACACTATCTGATTTATCATCACACTTGGTCAGCAAAGGGGTGGTTAATTTTGAATTCCCACTGGTAATTCTTTTCTCATTGAATTTCTCTCCATCATCAGGGATCTGAGGGTTATTCATTGTTCCTTTAACCTTCACAACAGCTGCCATATGGCTGCTTCCTTTTTGAAACTCATTGAGAATATCATACAAAGGCATGTCAGCTGGAACCCTGGGATGTTCACACATGAAAAATTATGTTACTACAAGAGAGTCGAAATATAAGGAATAGGAAAACACAGGGGTTTACCTAGGAATTCTACGGATAGAAACAGCACTGACTGGAGTTTCTGTTTCCGCACGTACTGTGAGAAGATTTTTCACCTGAATCTCAAAAAAGGATGAAAAAGGATGAAATCTAAGAAGTAAAAACCAATTAAACAATTGAAACTGAGATCAGTTATAAAAGATCATATATCTGCAAAAGAATAGTTAAGAAAGAACATTGGCACCCACCAGTAAGAGCCCAATAATATTTTTTGGATTCCCAGAATAAACTGGGACACGACTATGACCTCGTGAAAGTATTTTTCCCATTGCTTCCCTGAATTGAAAGCAAATAAGTCTAGTTATCAACCAAGTTCTAATATGCAAGCAATTGTGAAAGCACTTCACTACTTTAAAGAAGAAACATCCCAGTGTATAAGGCTCATTATGTGCACCATAAGACAATCAATCAATCAGGAGATGATCCTCAAAGTCAATCTTCTTCCTCTACTATCAATCTCAAAAGAGAAGCAGATAGAACATGGATTAACTGGATAACTTCTAGTATAAGGGGTTCCTAGGCTTATAAACAATCAGAAAATCCTCATTCCTATATCCTAAACCCAAATTTCCCTTTCTATCTAAAGATCAATCACTCTTCCAGTGACCAAAGGGCCCAAGAATCAGAGTCTCAACTTTTGAGGTATCATTGAGAGTTGTATAGGTTAACCATCATGAAATCCAAACATGCTACAACTTTCTCCATAATCACCCCTAGAATGGGTTTACAAATTTTGTAGGACATCCAGATACTGGAACAAGAAAATTTTTTTCCTTTTATTGCCAGATTCCATTAAATTTTTTATCAAAGAGGTCAAAGAAACAAAAGCAGGGCACTGCTTACAAAGAAGAAAAGTAGAAAATAACAATTTCTAAGAAAATTCACCAATTCAATTTTGAATTGACATCCAAAGAAAATGTTGATTCAATAGGCGTCATAGCCTCCTCTGCAGTCTGCAATACCAAAAGAAAATTCAGAATTATGAAAATTTAATAGAATGAAAACAGTGACATAGAATCTGTTAGATGTTTAGCTATCAAGACACATAATTGTCGGCACATGCACAAAGACTGAAAGTAAAACAAACAAACTTTGGAAGAGAAGAAGCATAGAGAAAATTTGAAGCAATAGCACCACTTTGTAACTAACCATGTTGGACATCAAGGAAAGAAAACAGTTGATAAAAATCATAATTATCAATGAGTATAGCCTTGAAGAGATAAACTGACCAATCTATATCTATATATATATAATAACAAGCAATGAATTTCTTAATACAATGCATTTTGGAGTACGTACAATGCATGGATAACACATGGGATTTGATGAAGGCTGATAAATGATAATAGTCCAGTGCTGTTTTCCGGGGAAATTTGCCAACATTAGATGCAGGTTTTCTAAGGTACTATGTCTTGGCATTATTGAAACAATCACTTTTGCCTTTTGGGTATCAACTAATTGATTTACATCAACCAGATCAGAAAACCAATCTGTTATTTTGATTTTCAAATGCAATCTAGGAGCATCTCCTCCACTACAAGCATGTGATCCAGATTAAGGGTCATCTACATTTTTGAGTAGTTTGGAAATGAAATCCATCTTCCACTAAAAAGTCTAATTGTATGGACTCAGAGCATGCTAATTTAACAATAGGGCTACCTTTTCTGTCAAATCTAGTGCTCCACTGATGATGGTTGTCTCATCATGCGTCAGTTCACCCCCCTTACCAGCCTAATATCATCAGAAATGATGAATTAATGGAAGCTTAAGGAAACAAAGAATTAATTGACGCTAAGGAAACAAAGAGATGCTTAAGCATTTCTATACTCCTTAAAATTTCAATGAAAAATTTTCAAAATATTTGTATCAGCAATGCTTTTCTTAAAGTTATTTGATAAAAAAACCACGTTTTATTATAATAACTAATTTTTTTATGAGGTGGCACATCTCACATACAATTGAATGAAGCAGGTACCTCTTGGCTATGGATAGACACAAGGGCTTTTAACTGTGGTCGTCTAAACAAAGCATCATTGTGTCCAAGTACTGCATCGAGGATCTGAAATCACATTAATGAACAAAGTAGTAAACATAGCCATATGATATGTAATTAGCTAAGAACCAACTTAACAGAAATGATGGGAGGGATACTTCATGAATGTAGCCATATGATATCAGTACTTAAGCACTATGTACATCTACATGACCTGGTGCATTGATCATGGCCCAACAAGACAAAATTTTTTCTTCTCCATTAGTTCCAGAGAATAATTCTAAAATAAACCAATTCAGGTCATCGATTCCCCAATGCAAATCCTCGAAGAGAAATCAAGAAGCATGTTGAAGACAATATTGAACTACATGAATTACTCCTCCCGTGCATGGATCATTAATGTTTTCTACATTCTAGATATGGAGGAACATGATATCAGTTCAGCTGTTGGCTAAAACGTATGCTTAGAGTTTCTATTAGTGATTAGTGATTACCTTTCCAATGGGGTAGGAAACTGGATAACAGACGATCATCAGAATGCGTACTAGCCACACGAAATTTGCACCAATGGAAAGTCCATATCGTGAGCATATTGCCTGGGGAATGACCTGATGAAAACAAGAACAGCAGAAACTAACCCCACTTAAAATCTTTACTAGTTGAAAACAAAGCATAATAAATACAAACATGCTATACCTCTCCAAAAGCCAGAACAAAAGTGACAGACAGCAAAACAGCTACAAAGGGATGGAAAATTTTATCAAGGTATATGGGAAGTGCCTGTAATAGCAAAAATCAAGAAATACAGAAATCCAACAAATGCATATGTTTTCTTTTCCCAGAGTATAAAGAAATAAGTAAGTGATATCAAAAGATTACTACTCTTATTGTAGATTACCTCCATGGCACAAGCATTACAAAGAAGCAAAGTTACAAGAAGTTGATGCTGCTTTTGAACAACTGGTAGAATAGCAGCTGCATTGGACCAAAAAGATTAAAGATAAAACATAAGAATCATTAGATGCCAATAAGATTTATATATCTTTTTATCTTGGGTTGCAAGGAGGCAGCCTCCTCTATCCCTTAATCAAGGGTGGACCTATGTTAAAAAGGGGTTAGACATAGCCCTACTCCTCTTCTAAAAAATTCTTATAATTTTATAACTTTATAATTGTAAGGCCCTATCCATTAAAAAAAAAAAAAACACTAATATACAAAGCCTTTTAATTTCGGGCCATGTTAATATAAAAATACAATAGGCCCTCCCTAATAATTGATCCTTATTTCTGCCCTGCCCATAACCCACCCCACCGGATACTCTGAAATTCAAGACCTCTTTTTCTTTTTCTTTTTCTTTTTCTTTTTTCATTTTGGTACATTTTATTATGCGCTATACAAGAGGACATGGCCCTCCCCTATTCCCAAATCCCTCCCCATCCGACTCAAGGCTCAAACTTAATATCTCCAACTTGGAGTCCCGAGCTCTTAACCATTGAGCCACCTTATTGGGGTTGAAATTCAAGACCTCTTACTTCCATGAAAAAGTAGATTATTCGTTGAGTTACTTAGAGTTTTGGCTAAATACCAATAAGATTTAATTTAGTAAAAATCAGTCAAAAATTATTTCCAATTTCTCTCTATTAAGCATTTTCTCATCTACCAAACAGCTCACAATCAATTCTCTTCTTACTCCTCAAAGAGTCATAAACCAAGCGTCAGGTGTGTTGATCATTCAAAAATCACAACTTTGAGTATGTAACGTAGAATCATAGTATTGTAGTTTAGTACGGTACCAGCTTGTTTCTTCTCAGTGGAGGTGCCACTTCTCTGGAGAATCTCGAGCTCGACGAGGCCAAGAGACATCAAGCCCAAGGTAAGTCCCGACATTATGCCGGCGAAGAGAACCAGTAGGCAAGACACTCCCGCGTAGACGAACCACCATGGGGAACTGAAAGGGATGTCATCAACTTCGAAGACGATGTCGTTTGGATTCCTCATCATCGTCCGAGCAAACTTAAGAAGAAACATCCGACGCAGCCGCCGATGTCGTGGTGGTGGTGGTAGGAAAGCGGAGTTGATGATAGCTCAGGTGCAGCCGGAAAGAGTAGATGGGGGATATTGCGGGGTTTTTTCCAGGGAGGGAAAGGGACCGTGTTTTGTTTTAGGGGGTTTGTTTTGTCGGATTGCAGGGTAGGTCCCGTGCAGGGGAGGAAAAAAAAAAAAGAACAAATAACATAATTATGATTTATAAATAAAAGACAATATGGCTGTCAAAATCAATTTCTACTTTTCCCCGACTTGACTAGACTCACTGCCTTGTCTCTTTGGCCTTTCTCTT